TGTTAGGTTAGGGCAGGAGAGGGCGGAAGTTTCTCATCTCTAGTTTGTGGATGGTACTATTCTTCAAGTCATATGGTTCCATGAAGCTCTATCATGCCGTTGCGACTTTACATGTTTTTAAGAAAGTCTCAACATATGAAAATTAACCTTATAAAAAGCAGCCTAGCGGATCTTAATATTGGTCTTGAGAGATCTAATGGACTCAGTTGTTGAGACATCTCATTATGGCCTTTTCTTTATCTTAGTGTTCTTCTGTAACTTACATACTTTTGATGATTTAGGAGCAATTATTGATATGCTCATTGACATGTTAATATATTTTGTACATGGGTGGCTCCCCCTTGGAGCCTTCTATTAATATACTTCTCTTTATCTCAAAAAAAAAAAAAATTCTTAGTGTTCTTCTGGGGGTTCCGTGGACCATCTCTTTTTGAATTTGTTGTGAATAGTCTCTAAGTGCCCTGCTGGAAGGGTGCTTCTTCCCTCCCTCCCTCCCATGTGCGGTGCTCTTATTATAAATCTTGTTTGCCTAGCATCCCACTTTATTATCTCTGTCCTTAAAGTACCTAGAGGTGTCGCAGAGAGAATTGAGAGAGTGATGAGGAGTTTTCTTTGGTGTGAGGTGGGTGATTTCTCAAGAGATTGCTTGGTAGGGAAATGTTGTTTGTCTAAGTCTGATGGGGGTTGTAGTATTGGTAATCGTTATTGTAAAAATCTATATCCTTTGGCTAAATGAGCTTAAATGTTTATTTTGGAATCTAACTTAACTAAGAGCATTTTTCTTTGTATCGAAATGGGTAGGATTCTAGAGTTATTGTTCCTAGGACATATAGGATCCCTTGGAAAGCTATTTCCGATCTTTATGGTTCTTTCTTACCCTTGCTGAAAACTAGGGTGGGTGATGTTTCTTGTTTTCTCTTTTGTGAAGGTCCTTGTGTGATATTATTCATTTCATCTTGCTTCCCTTGTTTGTATAATTCTCGGACTCATCATGCATTCATTTCTTTTTTAGAGTACTTTAATGATTCCCTTTCTGGAAACATACCTTCTTTATGAATCTTAATGACCAGTAGGTTGATGATATGACCTCTTTGTTTCGCCTACTTGATTTTGTTGTCTTATCTAATAACCTTGATCATAGAACTTAGTCATCGGAACCCTCAGTTATCTATTGAAGTAAATCCTATTATATTCTTTGGACTGAGAATCATGCCTCCAATAATGATATTTTTAAAGAAGAGTTTTTGGGAGGTTCTGCTCTCTCCGAGATCAAAAGTTTTTGTTTGGATTGAGCTTCTGGGCAAGCTGAATGCTAATGATTTGCCCCAAGCCTCTAATGTTTATGTCCTTTGAAAGTTATTTGATGCTTATGTAAATTGATGCTTATACCATATATATTTGGTGTCCCCCAAGTGCTCCAATAAGTATTGAACCCTAACCCTCTTGGATATAGAGGGGAGGACATAACCATCTGAATAGGTTGGTGCTTAGACTAAATATGTCAGGTTAGGTCCTCCTTTTTGTAGTTCAGGATAACATCTGTTACCAATTGCTTTTATTTTGAATATGGCCAAAGATGCTTCTTTTAACCCAGTCAAAAAGTAAGGTAAAAAGTGCTTTTGTTTTATACTAGATTTAGATGAATAAGGATGGCAAGAATGCTTCTCTTGTTCCTACCCGTGTCCTGTACTATTTCTTACTTGGTTTTGGGTATGAAATTTATTTCACTGGACTGCTATCACACTAACTTAATTCCCTACTATGCTAAACCTCTATCTCCTATAAAGATATCAATATATGAAAAATAAAATAAAATATAAGTATATAATTTTTTGAAATAAAAAATATAAATATGCATTAACATGCATTAAAGGGGTGCCAACTCCTCGCATACATATTATTTACAAATCTATTAGAATATCAGCAAAGTCTACAAAATCCTCTATGGAATCAAGAGGATGACCCAAAATAATAAAACCAAGAGTTTGGAACCATCAATTTCTAATCCTCTCAAAAGCCCTGACATCATCAACCCCTCCAAAAGCTTTTTTATTCCTCTATTTCCATATTACTCTAAAGATAGTAGACGAAATAAGATCCACATATTTCCTCCTCCCACATATACCTTTCCACGCCCATAATTCATCCCTAACCGAACCCGCTATCGCCTAGTTTATACCCAGAAGACCGCAGACTGTAGACCAAATCTTGTATGTAATTGGACACCAAAGAAGAATATGGTTGCTTGATTCTGTGTCCCTTCTACACAAGTAACACCCATTCACCAAAGTCTTTCCTCTCCTTATCAGTTTATCAATAGTCAGGATGCAACCTCTTCCCGCCTCCAAGTGAAGAATGCCATGAGCAATGTTAATTTTTCAGATTTGTTTAAAAGGGAAACTTCTATCCGAATACTCCTGCTTAGTCAGGTATTTGTAGAAAGATCCAACCAAAAAGGCACCTGTATTAGTAAGATTTGACAGAGGTTGATCATTGCTACCATCCAACACTGTGAGGCAGTTTGGCCTAATATCTTTTATTGTTTTATGCATTATAAGTATAAATTAATACTTAAACATATGTGCATACTGGGTGGGGCAGGTTGGTTAGATTTGTAGTAGTATTTGGACCTTCTACAATCCAAACTTATTTATTCATTGACCTCCCTCTCTGAATTCATTTTTTTTTCGAAGAAAATAATATTGCATTGGGCTGGTTCAATATCCATAATTTGCATCCCTATAGATGAAGCTCTTCCCCATCCAGTTGTCGGCTAATTGTGCCTAATACTGATATCTGTAATCTTTTTATGAAAGGCTGACATAATGGTTTTCATAATAAAAAGGTGATGAGGCCAAGGTCTTTTTGTGATTAGTTCTTCTGGTTGACTCTTAGAATAGTGAATGATTGGAAATATTCTTATATTAGCCTTTTTTCTTATAGTAGTGATCCCCAAGCATCTGCTGAAGCAAGGATAATAATGTCTGAAAAGGCTGCAAAGGATAAGGGAGTGACTGGAGCGCCCGAAACTATGGCAGTTGATGGCAATGGACAAGAGGTTAACTGAAATTACATCTTTCTTTGTTTTTGTATTCCTATTTTCTATGGGCAAGTAAACATGTGCTACCTGTGTATTGGCTCTGTAGGAGTGCGCATGAGCATTTAGATGCATCTAAAGTCTATATATGTATATAAATTGTTAATGAATGTGGAAAAATCATTCAAGTTTTTGTTTTACATACTTGTTACCTCCGTTTGATGATTGCAGTTTTCTCTTGTGATTAGGTTGGAGCTTTGCCTGCAACATCTGAATATGATGAGTATGCCCAAGCCCCGTCAACTCCTGGATTAGTTGAGGTGTCAAATCTATCCAGTGTTCAGAAGGCACTAGCCTGTGATGATCAAATGGAATCAGAAGATCATACTGTAACAGATTTGGTTGCCATAGAGGGGGGTGAAAATGCCGCTAACAAAGTGGATCTTGATCAAAGGGGGAAAAGTGCAATAGATTGGTCTTTCCAGAATGATCTACATAATGATTCTACTGAATACGTGCCTCCTGATGATGGAGTTTCACCATCCAATACAATGGATGGGGAAAAACACTTGCATAATGGTGCTGTATCCTCTATAGATCGAACTGGTGCTGAATTTGTAGAATCTCCTTGCTGCTCGCATGTCACTTCTGAGGTGGAGGATGTGGGTCAGGCATCAAATATGCCTGAAACTCATAATGGTGAAGTTCCTAATAATGTCAAAGAATCATGTACTTATGAGAAAGAATTAGTGTCACATGTTGTCTGTGCATCTGAATCACCTGGTAGACCCACAGTTATTGATGCTGAAATTCATGCTTGTAAGGAAACAAAGAATCCTGATAACTTGAATGACTCAGTTCTTAATGGGGAAACATCATTGGCTTCTAAGGATGGGCTTCAACCATGCAGTTCCAGTTTGAGCCAGCCGGATCTGCCATCTCCTGGGATTGTAGAGGCATGCTTAGGGGAAACAGCCAGAAGCCAGGAGGCACTTCATTCGTCTGGAGCTTTGACTGAGCAAGGTTTGTTCAACAGGCTAGTTATGTGGATTTTAGTTGATATGAATTACTGACATGAAGTTTAATTCGTGTCAAGAGCCCACCTTGTACTGTGTGATTGATTATTATGATGTCTCCAGGTGAAGGGTGCCGTATAGCTGATGTTATTCAGTCAGAGGACAATCAAATGGCAAATTCCATTTCACATGATGAAATTCAATTTAATAGCAGGATGTTGGACAAACAACAACCCAGTGTGCTTGCTAGTGATAGTCAGTTGGAAATATTGAATAAGTCCACAGCTTCAGATTTTCCCACAGCTGAAAAGGTACTATCTTTACCTGAAGAACTTGGTGATAAACCAAAAGATTTTGTGGTAGATTCTACACCAGACAAAGCAGTTGTAGCAGGGGCAGATGGAGTTGATGATACAACCAAGCATATTTCTGGGAAAAAGCGTAGTTTCACAGAAAGTACACTTACTGTAGAAAGTTTTAATTCAGTTGAGTCAGTTGGCTTAACCTTATCTAAGAGAACTGCTGAGTCCATTCCTGATGACGATGATTTGCTATCTTCTATTTTAGGTATCTATGTGTTTTTTAAGTTGAATAGCAGTTACCAAAGTTTTTAGAATACTGCATGTGGCTTGTAAGGTTATACTTCATTTACTAAGTTCATGGCATTATTGAATTTTTGATGTGTAAGTTGGAAGGAGATCTTCAGCTTTAAGAATGAAGCCCAGTCAACCTCTTGAAGTTGTGTCTATAAAACGCACACGATCTGCTCCCCGTTCGACACTCTCAAAAAGGAAGGTTCTTATGGACGATACTATGGTGGTGCATGGCGAGTATGTCTCTCTTTTACCTTTATGTGTTGCTGTATTTCCCCTTTCTGGGTCTGGTCAATTTTTTTTAAACTGTCTCAAATTTGAATATAATTGTTTTTAATTAATTTAAACCCTTGTTGTGTTTAAGTATGATAATCAATCTTGAATGGAAGTTTTAATTATAATAATTGATGTCCTTAATATTATCAGTAAATATTTCTGCAGATTAAACAGTTTGTTGATCTTGTTGACAGAGAGAATATATGTATATTTATTTATTTTAGCTTTTGGTATTTTCTAGTGTGGCATTGACCTTCTATTTGCAAACTTTCAATCTCAATGGTATATTCTTAGAGAGATCGTTTTTGGCAGTAGCTTCCTTATGTTTTGATTTTTTGTTCATTTTTATTGCTCTAGTAACTTAGTAGTTTTCGCCCCTTGTCTTAGTTCCATTGTACATACTAATATGCCAATGATCTTGCATGTTTTACCTCTCAAGTATCATACGTCAACAGTTGACAAACACTGAAGATATACGCCGCATTCGAAAGAAGGCGCCTTGTACCCATCCTGAAATTTTGATGATACAGCGGCAGTTCTTAGAGGAAGAAATCTTCCTTGAACCGATAGCTACTGGTGAGTTTTTGGACCTAAAGAGCCACTAAGCCAGAATCTCTTATTATTTTATGCTGCAATAGAAGTGCATTTTCTACCAATAAACTAGCTTTTTTATTTATTATGAATATTGGATAATGAACCGCTGTGTGAACCATTTTCTCTCCTTTTGTGTGTCTACATGTATATTCATGGTAATGGAAGGGAAGAAGAAAGGTAAATTTTGAGTTGATGTAAGTCACTAGAATGAGGAAAGCTGGACAGCTATTGACATGTCCCACCTGAAGGTTGATTCTTAACATGATACTTCTAACGCTTGCCCGGCAGACAAAAATATTTTTTTTGCGTCTTTATTATTTGGCCACTTTGTTGCCATTTTCCTTTCCACATGTGAATAACAAGAGATTTTATCTGGCAAAGATATCTTCATTCATCTCCATGCGCAGTTTTACAGCCCTGCCTAAATTTTCTCTCGTAAATATGTTATAAGCTAATGAGTTATGATGTTTTTGTAGGCATGTCAGCTGAACTGGTGTCTCTTCACAGCGAAAGATATGACCTAAGTAGAACCAAGGTTTCTGAAATTGGTGAAAATTGTGCTTCCTCTGAAGTCGTTAAGGATGTGGAATGTTCTATTAGGCTTGATGTTGTTGAAAAAAGTGGAATGCTAGGTAGTGCGCCTATCATCTGTGGAAATGATGTCCAAGTTCAACCTGATGAGACTCTCATTCAGGCTGAGACCCAGCAGAGTAAAGAACGTGAATTTGACATGCAATGTCAAACAGGAGCGATTTCTGATGTATATCTGGATTCTCTGCAGCATGAACCTTTGGGGGAGAAGTCTGACATGGAAATTGACGGGCGAGGCAATGCAATGGCTGATGAAGTGAACCACTTTGCTTATCGAGAATTGGAGATGGCATCCCTTACTGGTGTTATTCCTGAAGATATTAGTGAAATACCGCATGGGGGAAGGACTGATATTACCAGTACTTCTATGGGGATGGATCTATCATGTGAGCCATCTGATTGGGGAGTGGATGGTCAGCCTGTTGAGAAGGGTGGTTTGTAGTTGATATAAGCAACAGGGATGAAGTTATTGGTATTGAAGGTGCAGAACATAATATGGGAGATATTGTTGCTGTTGAGAGTGATTTGAAAGAAAGGGGCGACTTTCCATTTGATGAAATTAAAGCTGGTGCATTGGTTGCAATTGAAGATCTTCAACCAGATATTCCTGCACCAATTGCTAGTACAAACAACTCCCTTTCAAAAACTCTAGAAGCTGGTGATGTTAGCCAAACTGTTGGGGAAAGTGAAAATAACAAGCTTGAAGTAGCAAGTCTTGAAGTCCAGGTTGCCGAAAATGGTTTTATTAATGAAGCTCCAAGTTACAATGAGGAGTGCAGTGGGGAAACTAGGAAGTGTTTTCCGTATACAGAAGAACAAAGTAATGTCCAAAATGCTTCATTTAATGATGGAGGAAATCCATCTTTTGAGGATGTTGATCCACGTAGTGCTTTGGATGTGGGAATTACTGCTGGTGATCATGCTTCTATGGTAAATAATGCTGTAAGTTAAGCATCTGTATCTTTTTAAGTGTTCTTAATTTCCTAGTGAAGTGTCTGCATCTTTTTAAGTGGGCTTGTTTTTGTTGTGTCTCTAGATGAAGCTGCCAAACTAACTTTTGGTAGAATCAAGTTCCTAACTTTGTTAAAATCCTAATTCTGAATGCCTATTTTAGTTGTAAATGCCAGAGGATTGTGTTGAATTTTGTTATATTAGATCCTATTCCACATTAGAAAAATCAGACAGTAGTCTGTTGGAATTTTTTTTGGCAGTAATTGTAAACCAAACAATAGAGTGGAAGCATTGATTTGATTTGATTCGTATTTCACTCTTGCAAAATTATAATTCTGGTAAAGCTGCAATTTTCTAATAACTTGTCTTACAGTGATGAAGATTTCTGTAGCTTCATAGTGTCTTATTCTATGTAGTAAAGTAAACTGATAAAGCCTTTTAGTTTATCTAAAAAAAAATCTGATAAAGTTTTTTATGCATATGGTTGATATATATTTGGGCTTTATGATGCAGGAATGTGAAAACATTCAAGTCGAGAATGATACAGGTTTGATTTTCTTTTAAGATCTCTATTAGAATCTTAACATTCTTGTTGGATCTTTGAAAGTAGACACGATTTCATGAATTTAGTAGGATGAATTAATTGACTTATGTGGACCCTTGTGTTATTTTCTTATGCTTGCCATGAGAATTATTTTTTTGAAATAAAAGAGAAGTATATTATTATGGACAAAGGTACCAAGATGGTACTGTTTGTATACAAAATAATTACATATCTGTCAAATGGTCAATGACCATCCCAATCTCTTCCCAATTTCTCATGTCATGACCCAACAAAATATAATTAAAAGTGTTAATCCATTTATCTCTACATATCTGTCAAGTGGTCAATGACCATCCCAATCTCTCATGTCATGACTCAATAAAGAATCAAAAGTGTTAGTTGATCTATCTCTAATTTTTACAAAGTCAATTTCAAGACCTTCAAAAACTCTCATATTTCTTTCCTTCCACACTACCTAAAAAATGGTAAGCGGAACTAAGAATAAGTGTTTTTGTTTTTGCATATACCCGGCCAAGCCTACAGTTCCTTACCAAACGAGTCTGTGATAACCCAATTCATTCCCATAATCCCATAAACAGTTGTCCAAATATTGTGAACAGCTAGACAATTGAGTAAAGATATGATTGTATGATTCCTCATCGTTTTTACATAGTTAGCATCTATTTACCAAAAGTGTTGCTTCTCCTCTTCAACATATCAATAGTTAGGATACTTTCTCGAGCAGCTTCCCAAGGAAAAAAAGACATTTTGAGAGGAGTTTTTGATTTCCAGATCTGTTTGTAAGGTGCTGTCAGCCCAACCCCACTCTCTTTTTGGCATAAGTAATTGTAATAGGACTTCACCAAGAAGCCTTTCTCCTTGTCAAGTTTCCATATTCTGCTGTCACCATTCTCCTGTCACCATTCTCCATCAGCTTGATATTGGTCAAAAAGAGGAGCAAGTTACAATATTGTTCCACTTCCCAGTCCTTCAAATTTCTTTTAACCCTCACGGTCCAACCTTCCCCCCCAGCATCACTCTCATGCACATTCTCCACCTGGATCTCTCTCTCATAAGCAATGGAGTATATGTTTGGAAACCTGTCCTTCAATTTACCCTCACCCAGCCATTCATCCTGCCAAAATCGGATTCCCCTCCTTTCC